CCCCAAAACCCCAAAACCCCGGATAGAGGATAAAATGAGATTAAAAATATAATAATGATTAGTATAAGAATAATATCAAAAAATAATTAAAAAATTTAATTATGTTTATACATGCGTTCAGAGTCGGCAGGAATCAGACAATGTCTCGATTTCGAAGTAGCTCTAGAAGTACAAATTAGACAAGTCCTAACCCTTTTGGAAGAAATTATACTTTCAGGCCTAGTAATTCTAATCTTAGATAAATACAGTCTAGAACCCTGGAACAGATACAATCGTAAGAAAAGCATTTATAAAAACTTTTATTAGGAGAAGATTAAGAAGAGAAAGAGAGAATCAATTGGCAAGAGATCAAAGGTATCCTCTGTCAATAACTCATGAGTATATTAATCAGCTTATTGACCGAATAAACAATAACGGCGGATGAGCACACGGAGATCATGAAGAAAACAAAGATAGTTTTGCTGATAATGCTTTATCATTTAACTAAAACTGGAATTAACTGATTATACTAACCTAAAAGAGACAGAATTTGCTCAGATAGGTTAGGAGGGAGTTGATTGTCAATATCATCATATTTACAGCACTTTTCATAATAATGCTGTTTAGTGCCAGAATTGATACATCCAAGTGTGGCAGACAGCTACTTATCTGGCTAATGGTTTATACTGGATTTTACTTTATAAAGGTTTTGCATTCCATCCTGAATTTGTGCCTAGTTCATCAGAATAGCTGATTTACAACAGGAGTTTCAATTTTCAAATATTTACTAATAAACCCTTTTCATCTAGCCTGGCTTATCTATGGAAATTAAGTTTTCTTCAAATTTGATTTACAGATAGACTGTGGAAATGGAGATAATACTGAGATTAATAGGCTAAATACCTTCGTCCTCATAGTACTAATTCTAGGATATATATAGATGCTTTACTTTTTAGTCATTTCAATATTCCTCATTTACCTACTCATAATAACAGGAAAGTAAAGCAGAAGCTAGGTGAGAAATCAAAATGAGATTATTGATCAGCTACCTTAAACTCCAGTATAGACTATTCCTCCACAAATAAATCTAAATTTAGATCCTTCAGATGTTAATAATCCTTATGGAATAAGAGATAGAGTTTAGATGTCCCTTTTGAAAAGGAATATTGAGAAATATATCAAGAAACTTAGAAAAATAAAATATAAAAAGGACATGGACAATCCAGATTAACTCGATGAATGTGCAATATGTCTTACCAAATTCATAGATAATGATGATTTGCTTTAGCTGCAATGTGATAAAAGGCATTTATTTCATAGAGATTGCGGTTCGGAATGGATTAAAATAAATGCTACTTGTCCATTGTGTCGATAGGATTTCAAGACAGCTATTTGTGGACTTGGACTTTCAGGAAGTTAGTTCAGTAGTAGAATAATTGAAAATAATTCAATATCTGTGAGAAGTTCCTATAGAGAACACTAGCTTGGAACGCCACAAAATAGATATGGCTTAGTAAGAAGACCTAGAATTATAAGTGTCATTAGTATGCTAGACTAAGATCCAGAACAAATTCAAAGGTAGTTTACAGACCCATAAGCTGCAAACTAAATGATCATACTTGAGCACGATCTTCAAAATCATAGTCCACCTTCAATATAAGACTAAAGAAGACGAGCTTATCATACTAGAAGATCTGGAAATAACTCACTTAGAGCATCACCATCTATGTAAAATTAGAACGGAAGAGCTATCCTATAAGTTATATCGTAATATGACATAGACTAGTCAATGCTACCTACTATCTAGAATGACCAAGGACCCAATAGTCACTTAAATAATTTTCTGATTGAGTAGGAAAATAGCATATATAGAAGACAAAGATCAAATAACATGAATGAAATAGACAATATTATTTAAGAAGAGCTAAACTCAATGTCAGATTAACTTGCAGCAGCAGCTAATGCCGCTGGGTCTAATGGATAAAATAGAAGTCTATAGCCTGATATGAGCAGATAAGATGGACCGACTCAAGTAACTATGAATGAAAATCTTGCGACCTCAAGGACAACAAGCAGGCATCACAGAAGATTTTAGACCCTCAGAGAAACATTATTTCTTAATCCTCTATAGATTTGAAAGTTTCTTTTAATTGCTATATATCTACTTAATTTAATCAATAGCATCATGTTATATTTTAATTTGATAATTCTATTAAATCACATTAAGAACATAATTTAGTAATTACTGACTTGAGGGGTTTTGGGGTTTTGGGGTTTTGGGG